GAGAGAGAGAGAGATTCAAAATTTACCACTTTAGAAAAATACTTTTTTATATAAAAATACTAATAAATTGTTTTTCATATTTATAACCAATATTTATGATTAATATATTTTATACTTTCATACATATATAAATATAAATTTAATATAATATATGATACTATTATTAGTACAAATTTTAATAAATGAAGTACCATCCACTAAAAAATTTTATATTTTCGCTTATAAAAGTAATTCTATAACTATTTTCAAATCTTTATCATGCAATGATTTTGACAATTTCATATTCTGATTTGCTTACTGAAATGTATCCATTGCTCGCTGGTGTTTAACTTAGCTGTAGCAACTTGCAAGCTCGCATCATGACAATTAAGGAAGATACTTCAGGAATTGTCTGCTGATATTTGCCTTCTGCTTTCTTGAATCTGAATTGATGATGAGAATGAGAATCAATGAAAGCGAATGATATAATGAAATGTAATTTAATATTGTGTATTCTATTGCAATCTTTGTATATAAAATTTAAAATCTGAAATCGTATATATGGATAAAAAATCGTAAAAGCGGAGGAAAGATTTATGATATTATAAAGAATATTGTGATATTTCGATGATATGATTTATGAATCGAATGTTTAGATGAATTTTTTTAAAATATCAAATAGATATATGATTTAAATAATTAAATCGAACTAAGATTGTAAAAAATACAAGAATATATTTACATAGCAATCAAGATCAAGTACAAGACATATAAAATTATATAAATTTATTATTATCGTGTTCTTTATGTATATAATGTATATTATTTAGAAAATTGCTCAACATAATATTATCATATGCATATATATAAAATAAAAAATAAATATATATATAAATATAAAAGCATTTATAATTAGTCACAATAAAACTATAAGATACATATGTTAATTTTGCAAAAAATTAATACATAGAATTCATTTTTATATATTTTTATATTCACTAATAATATTTATTATTATTCTTATTTTTTATAATTTCTAACATTTTTTTATAGATATAGATTTAATTACTCATATAGTAAATGTTTAATAAAACAAATAAATTGCATATTATTAAATAGCATATATAGAATAAAAATGATGCAAGTTTTAAATGTTAACATGTTAAAAAAATATTCAAATAACAATAATGATTTTATGAAACAGTGCGATATAATAAATAAAACAATTTTAAAATCTTATCTATCAAGAATGAGAAAGAATGTTGTATCTAGAAAATAAAACGATATATTCTAATGACATTATAACAAATTCTAGATCTAAAATATATATAATATTAATTATAATTTCAAATAGTTAGTCTGTATAAAATTAAATTAATATTTAATAAAAAATTAAAAAAAACTTATTAAAAAAAATTATAAAATTATTAAAAATTATATTATAAATATTTTTAAGATAAATTGAATTTGTTCGGATGATTATCTCAAGAGATTATAGGATTATCATTTAAGAAAAGAAATATATTTCGAAGAATATATTGTATATATATATATATAAACAATATATATATATATATAAGCTAAAAAATATAATAAAAATAGTAATTTCATTAATAAATTGAAATTATTATTCACTAAATTAATAAGATGAGGTTATGTATGGTATTTCGCCGTTTGAAACATAAGTATGCGTACATCCAAAGATGATACGATAAATCGAAAAACAAGAGATATTGTAAATGTTAAAAAGTATCATAAAAAATGCAAAAAAAATAAATTTTGTATAAATTATAAAAATATTCTGGTAATATTCATTAAGAATCTAAAGATTCAACAGATACATAGCCAGCATCCGGTTTTTGATTATTATCTCTAACACCGAATGACTAAAATTTTATTTTATCCTTCTTTTATTCTTACACTTTATAATATCAATCTATATCGTTATGTTTTCACTGTCAATAAGGATACCAGTGATTAAATCCATTAAAGGATTTATAAAAGCGAATACGGATCTCAATCTAATACAATTGCCAAAATCAAAACCCAAAAATTTTATTGAAATCTTATGAAAATATTATATTTTATTTTAAATTATTTATTGGTATGCGATTTTTTTACATTTTCAAACGTAATTAAAAATATAATTTAATGAACAATATTTTCTTTTTCATTGTATAGTATATATTGCTTGATATTTTATGGAATCATCTTACAGAACATTTTGGGATTAATATTATTCTTTTATATATATATGTATAAAATTTTATATATGTGAAAATTTTATATATATGTGAAAAAAAATTTATAAATAGATTGTATGAAATGATATTAATAAATTATTATTTCCAATCAGTTTTAATTTATTTTATCACTTATATTTGTTGTAAATTTCTATCTCTATATTTGGCTTATGTCTTTTCTATTTCTTTTATATGATAAAATATTATTAGAAATAAATATTTCAATACATAAAAAAAAAGAAAAAAATACAGCTTATATTATAAAACATAACATATAATGAACAAGAATTTTTCTATAATTAAAATTATTGTAATAATTGCAAATGAATACTCCTGATTAATATTATAATATATATCTTAGATGTATAATTAAATAGCAAGATGCATAGTGTTAAATATAATGTATAAATGATATGTAGGAATAAAAAAATTATGCATTGCTCAATATAAATTTAAAACATTATTACAAATATTTAAATAAAATAAAGTTAATTTTTTTTGTTATTAAAAATTTGGCTGTGCTATTGATTTCAAAAAAAGAACAAGTTACTTGTGATTTGTATTTTAAATACAATATAAATAATAAGGAATTCAATAATAATGATAAATATAGAATATAATAATAAAAATATAAAATAAAATGTAAATGAACTATTTTTAATATCATTATTTTAATTACTATGCACAGCAAAAAAAAAAGCTGAGTAACATAGAAGCAAGAAAAATATATATAATCTGGTCTCTTAGTTGTTATAGAAAATTATACAATCTTTATATATATGAAACTTTTTGACAAAAGTTTAATAATATTATCTTTATGATTATATAAAATGCATTGAAATGACTAATTAATTTACATTTCTTTTAATTACCTTTTTTTTGCTTTGCATAATATATGGTATTAAAATTATATTTTAATTTACAAAATTTGAATTATTAGCATCAACATTTTAAAACAAATATATCCATTTGTTTTCAAATTCAAAAATTAACTAATAATGAATTCATTTTATTAATTTACATATTGTACGTAATTTAATATTTAATCTATGAGTTACGTACATAATATACATATATTATGTTATATACTAAACATAATACAATGATTTAAAAAACAATATAAAATATAAAATAACACAAATAATTTATATATCTATAATATTAAGATAAAATAAATGTATTAGATACTATTACTATTAAAATAAAAAAATATATAATAAACGCACCATCATCACGAGTGGAAAAGGATGCTTATACACCCGAACAGGCGATTGATATTGTTGAACCATATCACGTCTTCTTATAAATTGACTGCTAACAAAAACTGTAAAAATATAAATAGAACTAAATAGAACTATTATAATGATTAATTTAATTAAATAGTAATTAAATATATTAACTGACCGAGAAAAAATAAATTTTATAGGTTATAATAAGTCAATTTTTAACCTTCTTTTATTTCATTTAATATCAATGTCTCTTCACTTTATAATTATTAAAAAATATTTCAATATGAATTATAAATTATGCAACTTATAAACAAAAACTTGATATAATTAATATTTCATTATATATTATACAACACAGAAACAAAATAACATAAATATCACAAAAACAGTTTTTGCTAAATGGCACAAATATAGATTACAGTACAACCAATGAGCACAAATCATATATGTCCCTAGACTAGAACCAATCAGAAAGATTACATTAATTAAAATAGATAACATTTAAATATTTAAATAACTTTAAAACAAATTATATATTTATAACTATTTATTGTTTAAAAAATCTAAAATATAAAAAAATATATACATTTGTTTAACATAATTAGATATTAGTTTCCGGTGATACCTAACCTATAAAAAATTTATTTTATAATTTTTAATTTATAACACTTTATAATATTGAAGCTTATAAAATTTATTAATTATTATTTTATATATTATTAATTTATAATTTAAAAAGAAATTATTATTGACATTATTTTACATTATCTAGTAGATAAAAGTCTTTTTAGATGAAAGGTATTTATCGATCGTTTCAGACGAGTATATATATACGAGTATAATGCAAACACCAAAACTTTAAAAAAATAGACATCTCATGTATGAAAATTGTGTATACAATAATAAATAATAATAAGCTTTTTCAAATTTTTTTAAAAAATGGGAATAGGTAAAAGTCAGTTTTCTGAAGATGAACTACAAGATTATCAGGTACTATTATTTAATAATTGAATAATTCATAAATTTTATTTATATTTTATATTTTAGGATTTGACATATTTTACGAAAAAAGAAGTTTTGCAGTAAGTATATTTATATCATTTATATAATATATCTATAATATATCTATTTAATAATATCTTAATAATTACATTAATAAATTAAAAATAAACTATTTAAAGATGTGCTTAAATTTCAAAATAAAAAAAATTTATTTATTCAAATTATAATATTAATAATATTAATAAGATTTTATTGTAGTAATATTATATTTTTTTATAAAATTATTATTTTGTATCAAAAATCAATCAAAAATCAATTTTTATATTTTTATATATTATTTTTATATTTCAATAAATTATTTATAAAAAATTACTAATTAATGTTAAAATTTTTATTTTGTATGATAGTGCACATCAAAAGTTTAAAGCACTTGCTCCAGAAAAAGTTGGTCATAACAGAAATGCAAAACTTCCAATGTCTAAAATCTTACAATATCCTGAATTAAGAGTAAATCCCTTTGGAGATAGAATTTGTAAAGTTTTTAGTTCAAGCCAAGATGGAGATTGTACCTTTGAAGACTTTTTAGACATGATGTCTGTTTTTAGTGATGCAGCTCCAAAAGCTGTCAAAGCAGAACATGCATTTAGAATATTTGGTAATATTTATATCTTATTTTTCTTATAAATTTTATTCTATATAATTATTAAGTTATAACATATTATATGTAGATTTTGATGGAGATGATATGCTTGGTATTGGAGATTTAAGACAAGTAGTAGATAGACTTACTGCTCCACAAAGATTAAATGAAACAGATATACAACAAGTTCTTCAATATATACTTGATGAAGCAGATTTAGATGATGATGGTGCACTTAGCTTTGCAGAATTTGAACATATTATAGAAAAAAGTAGTGATTTTTCAAAGTAAGTAATCATTTATGATATGAATTTATTAAATTACACATTGAATATGGTATTTAATATTCATATTTGTTTTTAGGAGTTTCTGCATACGTTTATGAAATATAGAATATTAGTAAAAAGTAGTAAAAGAACAACATAAGACTGAACATTATATTATTATTGAAGTATTTCAATATACTCAATAAGCCTAATTATTATAATATTTAGTATAAAAAAAAAATAATCTTATGAATTTAAAGTGTGCCAATATTTTCTAAAGGCCTACTATATTAAAAATAACTTTCTTGTTTTCTAAGGAATATAGTTATAGAATTGTCTTAAACTAAACTGCCATATATAACTAGTAATATACAATATAATAGTTTATTAAAATGTTTATTGACTTTAAATTAAATTTTTTTGTTTTAATATTTTGATGTAAATTCATGTTGTATAGATTAAAATATTTACATATATATAAAATTATTATCACAAATTATAAATATATATAAATATTTATAATATAATTTAATTAATTTATATAATTATATGTTATAAAATATAAAATTTTTTTTTTATTACAATATAAAATATTATGATTAATATCCTATTATTTAATTGATGTTTATTTATTATACACATTATTATACACATACTAATTTTTAAAAAATATATGAATTTATATAGAAAGGAAAACTAATATTTATTTATTGATTTTTTTATTAATTTATATTAAAAATATATATAAGGTCAGCCACTAACAGTTGTTGTAGAAGTGCAATAAATTATTTATAGAATATTATTATAGAAATTAATTATAGAATAATATTTATAATAATTATTGAACAAATAATAGTTTGAAAAAAATTATGGCCTGTGTAAAGAATTAAAATATTATACTAACAGAATCGAAAAAGTTTTTTTACTTATTTATAATTTTATATTGAAATTTAATTTTAATTCCAACTATTATTAAATATAAATTAACGAACACATTTCTTGAAAATATCGATTTTTTTTCGATATAAGTTATAAATCGAATTAATGAAAAATATCGATAACTACCTAGGTATCGAATCAATAAAAATCATCTTCATTCCTCAAAAAAATATTTCAATCACAAAATGATTATACCGTTCATATATTAAAAGTTATAGCATAAATTTATAGAAAAATAAAAATGATAAAAAAAGAATATATAATATATTATAAACGTTAATTTATTAGAAATTTTATTTTGTAAATATTTTGAATATTATATTAATTGAATATAACGTTTTATATAATGTATATAATTATAAAATGATTGTTGATGATTTAAATAATATTATATTATGAAAATAGCATATACAAATATTTTTAAATAAATAAAAAACATACGAAAACAATGGAACAATGTTTGAACTGATGCAACTTTTCAAATGCTTACAGCACATACAATTTTATTTTCATTAAAAAAGAATAAATTAATTTTAACCTAATAACTTATCCAAAAGCAATTATAATGATATATTATAATATATTTTCTTAAATATGAAAAAGTTATAAATTTTTGAGGTTAATAACATTTTTTTATTTAAGTTGTGCAAATCTAAATTATTGTGTTTTTGTAAAATGAATTTAATACTTTCGACTACATAAAGAGTATTTATATTTTTTTCAATATTTTGTGCCTTTTAATATTCATAATTATGAAATATAATTTATAACATATATTTATTTTATTTATGGATTTGCTTTAATTAAATATTATTATTTTTCGATTTTTTTTAAAATTTCGCTTAAAAAAACATAATTTAATATTTTAACATGATTATTAATAATATAGAAATTTTGTTTTAATAAGTATTGTCATAATGAAATTTGCTTTTAGTTATTGAATCATAATACTTACTTATGAAGTAAGTAATGTGTGAGATTAATAAGATTTTAATCCCCTGTGTACAATTATCGTTTTATCATTACTATTACATTAGTCTTTTATTAGCAATACAATTAATATAATATAACAATTAAAAAATTTAATACATGTATGAACAAAAAAAATCGTATAAAGTAATATATTTAATACTAGCTTAAACGTAATTATTTTATATTTAAAATTTTGAAAAAGTACTTCCTTTATTTATTACATGATTTTAGTTTGCATTTATTATTTTGAAACGTATTAAGAACATTTATATTATTAACAATAAAAAATATGAATACGAAATTTATTCTAATAAATTTTATTAATAAATAACAAAATAAAATTATGACTAGATCATAACAATTAAAAAATAAAATCTATATTAATATTTTCTAAATACCTGTATTTATAGAAAAAAAAATCTTTTAATTACCATATATTTCCAAAATCACATGATTTTTTTTAAAAATTATTACTTTTTGCAGTTTTGAAAAAAAATGTATTGTTGATTATTAAAATAAATAATACATTCTATATAATAGTTATCATTTGTATTAATAAATATAATTTGTTAAAGATAATGTAAAAAACATATATTTACATTTCTAATTACACATGGATAATAGAAAGAAAAATAAACTATATTTATTTATCTCAATAAGAGATAATAAAAATTACACAATGTAAAATAAATAATAAGTTATTTCATAGTTTTGTAAAATATTGAGCAAGAAGAGCATATAGAAAGAATAAAATAATGCAAATCTAAAAATTTTTACTGAGATTAAAATATTTTGTAGATTCTTAATATTGACTTTAGTATCGAAGGTATATTTTTATGAAATAATAATTTATAAATATAAAGTTTATCAGTAAAGAAACATTAATTCCAAACTAACTACCTACATATTTTAATAAAATTATAAATAATATTTTTATTTGTGTGTGAAATTTTAATAGTGTATAGCTTTAGAATAAAGTTTTTTTAAAACCTGATTAATGTATTACACTTAATCATTTTTTAAATGGAAAACTGAAAAAATAATGAACGAACTCATAAGTATGAAACTGAATTATATATAGACTTGAAATAATAAAAACAATTAATTAATTATTTTTGTTAGCATTAAGTGTAACGTCCAAAGGTTCATCGATATTTTGCGAAGGACTGAGTTCTTGCTGGGGTAATTGATGAAATAAAGTGGCAATCGGTGTGTGTCGAGGTGGACCTTTCACAGTGAGATCCATTTCAGCTTCCTGCGGCCTATCTCTAACACTTAAATTGATATCTCTTTCTATTGGACTACCGCATATTCTTGGTGGAGAACCACAACCACATTTCATTCTCTCTGGAGATTTTTCACACGTCAAAGAATATCTGAAACAATAGTTATTTTTTTATATATAAGAATGCAAATTCAAGTAGAAATATAATACAGAAAATTATAATATAGAAGTAAAATACAGAGAAGAAGCGATATTTTTTTATTTTGATTTTTTTTCAAAGTTATATTAATTATTAATTAATAAAATTCAAATTTATTATATATAATATAAAATATCGATATATTTAAAGGATAAAAAAAATTATTTTGTTACCCGTGAGGAGGTGGCAAAATTCTATAATCTCTGCAAACGGATAAAGTTGAAGTGTCGGATATTTTGTCAGCATTGGTTGCCGTCAAAGATGGTCCATTGGTAGCAGAGGCAGAAGATGGTGGAGGCGGTGGGGGTGGCGGTGGTGGTGGTGGTGGTGGTGTCGTAGCATCAGGTCGTTCTAAAGAGGTTGTGGGTGGCGGCCTCAAAAGAAGAGGTGCCGCACTTCCTAATCCCAAACATCGCATTCTCCATGCATCTTGTAACAATTGCAATCGGGCTTGTTTTCGCCATTTTGCTCGCCGATTCTGGAACCAAACCTAAAACAACAAATAATTTTTTTTTATCTTTATCACATAAAATATATGCATTTACAAATATTATTAATTAATTTACGTTTATGAAATATAAATATTATGTATTATAATAAATGACATTATGCATTTAATGTTATTATTTGTTAAATTTTTTAAAATAAAAATAAACATTTATAAATTCACATTTATTTACAATTATTATATTATTATATTATAATATAATAATAAACAACATAAATTATTCTAAATAAGAACTAAGATTAAAAAGATAAAGAAATATAAAAGAGATTAAGTTCTTAACAAATTATCATTTATTCTAATTCTATTAATTTGATATCAAAAAAAAATAAATAAAATATGTAACAAAAAAATATTATTTTTTTTAACCTGAACACGAGCCTCTGACAGCGAAATTCTAAGAGCGACTTCTTCTCTTAAGAAAACATCTGGATAGTGGGTCTTCTGGAAAAGTGATTCCAATTCTTGAAGCTGTTGTGGAGTGAAAGTCGTCCGATTGCGTCTCTATTCAGACATGATTAAGGATAATTAATAATCATACATAAATATTATTGTATTTTATGTTTTTTAATTATAATAATTTTGATGGAAAATGAAATATGCAATAATATTACTATCTACATCATATGAAAGTTAAAGAATCGAATTAAATATTTACAGAAAAACCATAACTATACTATTTATTTATATATTCCTATTTTCACTTATGTTTTTGTTTCATTCTTTTGTTTCATTCTTTCAAAGCCGAAGAAAATATTTAAAGAAATATCTAATGATATAATTTTTTTGTACTAGAAAACATGTGTATTAAAAATAATTTAATGTATTATGTTAAAAATAATACTATATAATTGAAATATAATTACTAATACAAATTAATCATATTATAATTCTGTAAATATTAATAGTATGTTTTATATAATCTCTCTTTCTTTCAAATTAATCTTTTAAAAAAGAAATTAAGAAGATTATTTAATATAAAAATTAAAAATTTTTTTAATTATGTAATGAATTTATAATGAATTTTTTTAAAAAGTGAAAATTTTACTTAGTAAATGTTTTCTTTTTTAGAGATAAATAAAATTAAATGTAAAAATAAATAGTTAAATAATATATATTTAAATTTCAATTAACAAGCAAAATAAAAATATAGAAGATATGAGAAAAATACTACTAACAATCAATGATTATTTATATAATAATTCATGAAATTTTATAGAATTATATAAATATAAAATATAATATAAATATAAAAAAAATTAAGAAAACTCTATGTGCATTTTTAAATCTTTATGAAATATACATTTATATTTAAAATTATAAATTGAGTAATATCTAAGATTGTTCAAGATCTACAATAATGATATCATATTTTACATATATTATATATATTTAAATAATATTTTACAAACATGCTTTCTAATTTACATGCTTAAGTACATGCTTAATGGATATAATAAATTTTTAAAAATTCAGTAAACAAGGAAGAGAAAAAAATACATGAAAAA